GAATATGGAAGAACTTGCATTATCCATTGTGGAAGACATGTTAAACAAGATAATCAGAAGTAGTAATGGATTGGTATAATCTTCACAAAGGTCTTTTTTTAACCGAGGAGAATTTATTTGATATTATATACTAGTGTATATATATATATTTATGCAAAATGATTTTTACTTTTCAGCCAAGTTTGTGAACAGAACAACAAGTCGTCAACCGGAAACTGAAGCATTAGAAAAATGGATTGTGGAAAGTCCATTTGTACTGTCAGTAGCCTTCCATGGTGGTACATTGGTAACAAGCTACCCATATGATGGCAGTAGTCATCCTGGTAAGTCTATAGCCATGTATTGTAAGTAGTCTTATGTGGTGGTACAATACAATATTGCCTGACAGTATTTAGCCAGCATTTTTTCTCCTGTATTTCTACTGTTTCAAGATATTGCGCATTCAGCAAACTTGCATCAGTTTCATGACTTGAACCATGTAGCACAAGCATTCTACAATATCCATGGATGATTATTCAATTTTGAAGGGTAGCCCTCTGATGAACCTACTTGTATTTTTAGGTACATCTGGTGAAAACCCGACTAAAGATGATGACGTATTCAGGTTCCTAGCTCAGACCTATGCTAATAAGCATCCCACAATGCACCTTGGTAATCCAGCCTGTCCCGATGATGTTGGTAAGAATTCAAGTAAGTTATTAGCCGTTGCCTGCTATTTAGATCTCATGCCTCTGTTGTTGTTTTTTTTGTGAAACTAAATAAATAGTCAATGTATGATTTCTTCGCAGGGGAAACATGCATGCTGAATTATACTCTTTGAATAGTGTTCTTTTGTCTCTATACAATAGAAGCTGTGCATATTTCTCAAGAAAAGGAAACAATACTTTTACAATCACGTAATTCTCACACACAGTGCTTGCTCAGTGGTGTATCATACCTGTGGTTTGATAAATACACACATTGTTATATTTACCGCATCTTCCGCATGATTTTGTGAACTTGATGTAAACCTGATTCTCCAAAGATGTATTGTAATATACACATTGTAGAATTACACATTGTAGAATATAGATCTAATTGGATGTGTGTCTAAAACATGGGACAAATCAGACTTGGTGCAACCAGGGACATAAAGAACAGCTCATGGCAATATAAATAAAACAAAGGGGTGATGTCAAATTGTCAAAGAGGGCGCACTTTAAACACATTGGCTGAATAAGATCTGCAAAAGTACAGTGATAAGGTGATGGCCTGATAAGTGCACCTTGGCTGGCAAAGATGTTTTTGCACATTCAGTTATTGATTATTCGCGTTTCTTCAATTATTTCCACCAATGTTTCTGAATTCCATACAAGCCTGACTGTGACTGACTGAATTTTTAAAACTTGCTGACTTGTTGTAGGTGTTGAATTCTCTGATGGTATTATTAATGGTGCTGAATGGAAAAGTCAGATTGGTAGTATGCAGGTATGTATCCCACAATTCATCATCTTGTTTGTTTGTAACCAATCAAATCACTACTTGCCATACCATGTGACCATGTTGGCTCCTTGCATGATTCAAATTATTCTGAATACTTGTGTATTTGTGGTTTTTATTACTCTCCCAAATAAACAATCTTTTTAATGTCAAATAAACCTGCTTCATTTTATGACAAATTATCCCTTTTTTGTCTATATTGGCAAAATATAGAAAAAAAGGTAAAAATGTGGGAAATGTTGCACCAACATCTGGCGTGTAAAAAACATAAATATACATTGGCATTGATGGGATTGTACCTTGTACATTTGTGAATGCATGTGAATATGCACTCATAGCAAAAAATGTCAGAGAAAAACGTCTGCATTTGTTTTCAATGCTAATTTCGGCAAACTGATGCAATCTGCAAACAAAGGAAAAGTGAAACAAGAGCATTCAGAGTCCTGAAGATGAATCATAGGGAAATGGTGTATGTGTTTTACAGACCCCTAGGTCAGTCAGGGTAGATAGTCTGTAGCCCCCTTAGTGGGCTGGGCAAGAGCCCGTGGCAAGAGGTGGGTACAATAGGTCACTGTGATATATATTGTTTATTTCAGGATTTCAACTATGATTTCAGTAACTGTTTTGAGATCACAGTCTACACAGGTTGTTGTAAATATCCTTACGCTAAAGAACTTAATCAGTTTTGGAGAGACAATGCAGCATCACTGATTGCTATCATGGAAAAGGTAATTACACGATTTGCTCTATGTGTCTGCGTAAATGACAGGTGTGTCTATGGTGCAATATTTGAGATGCACTTCTATTGCAGATGCACTTCTATTTGAGATGCACTTCTATTTGAGATGCCTTCTGTTTGAGATGCCTTCTGTTTGAGATGCCTTCTGTTTGAGATGCCTTCTAATTGGGAATGTGCTTCTATTGGAAATGCACTTCTATTTGAGATGCACTTCTATTTGAGATGCACTTCTATTTGAGATGCACTTCTATTTGAGCTGCACTTCTGTTTGAGATGCACTTCTATTGGAGATGCACTTCTATTGGAGATGCACTTCTGTTTGAGATGCACTTCTATTTGAGATGCTATCTGTTTGAGATGCCTTCTAATTGGGAATGTG